CCGCGCTTGCGCCTCACTTATAGTCCTGTCAGTCTTAACTCCTATATACAGAAAGACACACAAATTAATAATCATAAAAGTTATTGAAATAATATTAAAACTACATTACCAGCTCTGGACATTTGAATTTCCAAGTTTTTAACTGCTTTCTTCAACTGCTGTATTTCGTCAATGCATCTATCCCAAAATTTAATATCGCCAATCATGTTTTTATAAAGTAACAACTTTTTCTCAGGCTCTGCCTTTGACGCTTCTAGATCCTTAACGGCCATTTTTGACTGCGCCACGCTGATATTGGTCTTCTTCAACTTTTCCCTAAATGAACGAAGAATATATTATACAACTGTTACCTTAACTTCAAAGTTTAATCAATATATAATCAGCTCACTCTAATGCTTTCCTATCGTTCTCTTTACATCGAACGACTTTCTGGACAATAGGTTTCAGCTGCAACATGTTATCATATTTTTCCTGTTCTCTCCCTAGTTCTCGTTCACACAACTTCAAGCGATCAGGTTGATTACGTATTATATCGGTTTCGATTTCCTTTATTAACTCTGTGACCGTGTTTTGTTTGTCAAAATCTCTGTGACACAGGGGACAACAAGGATCCTTCGCAGTTAATTTTTTAACATATTCCTTGTAGGCTGTAGCTTGATAAGCATAGATTCCTCTCGTGTTCTGAAGTTCCTTTACTTTAGTTGCTTGCATTAACAAATTCTCATCGAAATCTTTGCATACTGTGGATAAAAGAAGAAACATTAAAAATAATCACAAATAAAATTATATATATAATTATTAAAAATATACATATATAGAATATAGTCTTACCGCGTAGTACTATTGTCTTTTTCTTAATGTCGGATTCTATATGCCGTACAGTTGTTTCGAAAGCAGTAGTTTTACGTTCTTGAGCCTGAATCTCTCGTGTTAAAGAATTGGTTTCTTTTTCCTGAAATTCACAATTGCAGTAAGATTTTATGAACATACAATATGCATAAAAAAAATTAATTACATACCAATCTTTGGTGAACACGTTCCAAAGTATCTTTTAATTTAGTTTGTTGTAGTTCTTGAACATTTAACAACGTTTTGATGTTATCTCCATGCTTTTTCTTCAAATTTTCCAGCTCGTCTTCTTTAGCTTGTAATGCCGACTTCTTCAATTCAAATTCCGCCGTCAATGAGCTTAATTTATGCAGAGAAGAAATTTCGTCGTCGATCGCGCTTAAGGTTGCTTCAATTTTGTCTCTCGATTTTATTTTATCTGCAATGTCGGCTTTCATAGAATCGACATTCAAGGATTTCAAGGCGTTGCTGAGTTCGTCGATTCTCTGCTTCGCCGTTTGAAGTTTTTGTTCGATGGACTTCAATTTATTCCCCGCTGCGCCAATCTAAATTTAAAAAATTGATACAATTTTTTTTTCGAAAGCTAAACATTGCTATTATAAAAATTCTTAATAAACAGTATTACCTGTGTTATGTGGTTCCGAATCGCATCTATTTCTTCTCTTATTTCTGATACTTCGTTTTCTTTAAGAACTTTTTCCGATTCAATTTTCGAATAATTACTGCGCAGCTTATCGACTCCCGTCTGCAACTCCTTTTCCTCTCTTTGCATAGTCAGTCTATTCTGCTCTACTTGTTTTTCTAACGCCCGCATCTTTTCGTCCAATCTTTTTGTACGAGCCTTCACCTCTGCAAACAAAATTTTTACATTTGTTGAGCAATGCAGAGAAAAAGAACAAAGTAATGTAACATCGGTATAATGCATGAATTTAAAAGTACCTATTTCAGATACATCCGATTCCACCGAATCAAAATCCCAAGCTTGTAGTGCGTCATTTAACAACTGATTGCGACGAGCGATCCTTTTCTCATGATCGTTCACCTGTTGCTTTAATGTACCTACGGTTTCTCTTCGTGTCGCTAAAATATTCGAGATCTTAATCCCTTTCTCCGTGATACTTTTAACCTGGGTTTGATTCTGCGAAGAAAAACCAACATATGTAACATATGCAAAGATACTGTCGTAATATTCGTTCATACCTCTGTGATTTCGACGTTCTTTTCCTTTAATGTACTGCCGCACGATTCAACGAGCTCGTTTAATTCCTCTGTTGTTCCGTCGAAGATATTGTTTACAGTTTTTTTCAGTTTTTCATATCGATCTTTATGCATACTGTATTCCATCTTATTTTCCTCTGTTAAAATAAGACAACAGTTTTTCCCCTTGCTCTGCATATCAGCAAATTTTTGTTTAACTCACCTTCCTCAGCCTGGACTTTCTTATATTCCGTACGAAACTTTTGCACTTCGTTGAGTTGCTGTTTCACGTGTTCGAGCAGTTTATCAATTTCACTTATCTTCTCCTTCGTGGTATTCAGTCTCTTCTTGTGCTCCTCAAGTTTAGCCATTTTATTATCCACTTTATCCATGAGTACTTTGAAGGTCCGTTTTTCTGCGTTTAGACTTCGAACATCGTTTTGCAACTCTTTCTGAAGCTTTAAAATAGTCTCCGAGGCTTTGTTGAACCTTGTAATGTTAAATATGTCATCGAATCTGTTCTTTAACATCGCCCCCTCTGTAAACGGCCAATTGAGCTCTTCTTGGTGACAGAATATGACGTACTTCAGGATAGATTTTGAAGCGCCCAGCACCAAACCAACTTCTTCATCAACCACACATCGACTGGTTATCGATGATTTCTGTCGGGAAAAATGAAATAATTGAGATAGAAGAACTCGAGTAAGGTACAATTCTATTCCTGCGTAACGCGGATGCATTGCAATATCTCCACTCATGGGGCACGTAGGAGAAAAGTAAAAACACTTTTATTATGCAAATCGTACCCAAGCTATCGATTAA